TAACTATTTCCTAGATAAAAGTAAATCTATTATTATAAATATTACTAAATATATTAATTTATTATTTATAGGGGTATTAATAAAAAATATTTGGTTCCAAATAAATAAAAATAAAATGAAAAAAGAATAAAAAAAAAAAAAAATGGTTTCTTCCTCAAATACTTATTATTACAATAGGATTTTGGTAACAAATTATAAAAAGAAAATCAAAAAAAATTCCAAGTTTTTATAATATGAAAATCAATTTTTATTTGATACAATATTAGCAACTCTTTATAATTAATTACGTAAATAAATATGGGTAAAAAAATAAGACTTTTTTAGACAGTGTTACCAAATGAAGCATGTACCTATTATACTTTTTTAATGGTGTTAAATTTTTCTATTGAATAAATTCACAGATATATAAAAATACTAGATAGATGACTCTCCATACTATAATGTAAAAATTATGATGCCGACAAAATGGCCGAAATTCTCTTATCTATAAAGTGATTTTTTACAAAATATATAGTATAACACATCACACATATTAAGATTAAAATTAAAAGTTGAATTTTAACTATAAATTATATTATTATTTAAGTTAATTTAATTATAAAAAGTAATAATAGTATAATTTATTACAATACCGAGAAATACAATGTAGATAAACATGTTAAATAAACAAGTTTCAAGCTTGTTCAATAAACACATGTTTGAATTCGGTTGAACTGACTTCATATTAAAAACAAACTAAATATAAAAATAAAAGTTAATGTCATATTACAACAGAATAAAAAGAAAAAAATTAATAAATAAAAAATTCATCCATCTGTAGCTTATTCTATAGGTAAAATAGTGTATTTTGGCTGTGTTAGACACTGCAACAATAAGAGTTGCAAATAGTGATATTCATTTATTTTTATAAGTATAATTTTGAAAATTGCTTGAATAAAAAATTTAGGTAAATTATTTTTTGATTTTTAGTTTCCTTTAAATAAATAACTAATAAAAATCATGGATGGATAAAATACAAATAAAAAGATTTGTTCCTACAAAATAAAAGCAAGTGTGCAGTAAATATTTCCTACTCTGATTTTAAAAATATTAATGAGCAACTTTAACATTTTGCATCAGTTTTTTCTTCTAAAAATCAAATCCCCAAAAAAAAGTGTGAGAAAAAATGATACAGATATTATAAAACTTTATGTACGTCCAATTGATTAAATATAAATAATTCTCACGATGAATGTCTAATAATACCTAAAATAATTAAAAGAAAAATAATATTTGAAAATGTATACTGGAATCGTCCATACAAAGCATTATTCACTACATCAATACAAAGTAGACCTTAAACAGCAATAACTCCAAGAAAAGTACAATTAAAATATAAAGTATAAATATTAAGTCAACAAGTAAGAAGGTATAAATAAATAAAGGTATATATATATATATTACCTAAAAATATTAATAAATATATGACATTTGATTAATTGTTTAAATATTTATATTTTTTTTTATCTATACTTAAACATTAAAAAATATTAACTTCATTATATCTTACTTTGAACAATGTAAATAAATTAGGAAAACAGTACCTATTTAAAAAATAATAAATGTTTTAATTGATTTTTAAATTATTGTTTTTTAAAAATGTACTAGCCAAAAAGATTTATTTAAACAAATTTTTATAAATATGTAATATTTACATGATAAATTGGTACTCATTAATAATTTACATAACTGTTGAATAAGTCTAAAGTTAAGTATATAAATTTCAGATATATTAAACAAACCACGAATTTAGAAAGTCAGAACTAATAATGCATATGAGAAATTGATAACAATGATAGTCTGTATTATTGTTGTGAAAATGTAAACATTCAACTATTACATAGGTTCCCAAAGTGTGCGCCGCGATGTCTGTATAGGGGCGCCACGCTGTCATGAAATACTATCGGGTCTAACATTTTCTTTATGATTAGTTATGCTATGAATTATAGAAGGGCACCCTGAAAAAATCTTAGATCAAAAAGGGCGTCTTGAGTCAAAAAAGTTTGGGAAGCACCGACCTATTAGATTAGAGAATTTTGGACATATTGTCGTCCTCAAAATCATTTCTAAAATGACTAACTAGTATTTATATATATGGATAGACAACCTTTAATTTAAAAAGAAGCAATTAAGTCAAATGATAACTTGTCATATGTTGTAACAGAAATATTGTTTTTATTACATTGAGTTCTTAGCAGAAAAAAATAAAAATATGGTAATTTAATCAATCTCAAATATTAGAAGTATTAGTAAAATCTTAACTACAAAATTTCATTAAATTATTTTGGTAATATATAAAATAATTAATATAATTCTGCATCTTATGTGACTAATGAATAAACATAATTTATTTTTTTTTTTTAATCATACATTGTCATATTATTTTTAATTTCTAGTTTGTTTAAAATGAGAAATAATACTTATATTACATGCACGTAAATATTTTCAATTACTTTTATTTTTTGAGAAAGAATAAAAATTTATATTTTTTAAATAAATGTAATAGAAGTTAAAAAAATCTAAAAATAGTAAATAATATAATAAAAACATTTAAAATGTATTTGTCTCAATAGTGTGTTCAATAAGTTAAAAAATATGCTTAACATACACCAAATAAAAAATGATAGTGATAAAATTTTTTTTAAAGAAATTGTAGAAAAATAAAAACTTTACAACTAGTTACTAGCATTGAAAACTAATAATATTGAAGATAACATGCAAAGACCAAAAATAACTGATGTTTAAACATTTGTTCCAAGGTCAAAAAATATAAGTTTTATGTGGTTTGATAATAATTAAATATATATTATAACTTTGGTTAGTATAGAATACTTATGTATTAATTTGAATTGTGCACACAAAATGTTTTAAAATTAAAATTATAATAAATTTATGAAGGCATACAAATGTAAACAATAGTCTGTCTTCACATATAACACATATATATATATATATATAGTACCTATACTGTATAGTATAAGTACCTTCTGTATTTTTGCTCATTGTGACTATATGAATACATATACACTAAATTAGATTACCATTACCTATTATTTATACAATTTTAAATAAATTAATATTATCAATGTTTGGTCAAAATTTTTTTTTTGCGAAGCATCATAATACTTTAATATTACTTATAAATAAGTAATATAAAGGTATAAATAACTTGATACTAAGATGATTTACATCTTAAAATATTTAATTATATTCATGTGTATTAGGTAACAGACGTAAATTGAATCTTATCAAAGACAAATGCTAAAAACACTTCAAATAAGTTAATTTTTTAGCTTAACCCAACTTTATATTATATGTGTACTCCAATTAGGATTTTGTGACCTGAGATTAAATTTCCTTATTTATCATTAAAATTTTAACAAGAATACAAAATCACTTTCACTATGAATAACATATAATTTAAAGGAAAATATTATGAACCTTTGTTCACATTATTTATACTTTCGTCAATTTATTTCACCAATCAATAAAAATATTTTAAGTAAATAGAATTAAGCCAAAATGACTTTATTCAGTATTTATAGTGTTAATTAAATATATTAAATTAATATAATTAATTAAATCATTATTAGATTTTAGAAACTACTATGTACACATAAATATGATATATGCTTGTTTTTACAATAATATGTTAAAATAATGAATGAACTTCCTCATTGAACATGGGATAAATTTATATAAAATATCATTATGAGAATAGTTCAATAAATTAATAAGAAATCTATTTATAACTTATTATTATCCTAATTATATAATTCATAATAAATGCTAATTATTATATTACGGAAACAAAAGTAATGTTCAAGTTATACAACTTAATGTCATCCTTACCAATTCTGTGACATTTGTTTTAAACTGTAAGGGATTTTTATGAATGATTAAATAATTTATGTTATTTATAAAAAACATAAATTTAGATTTCAAAAACAATAATTAGTTTGGAAAGTTTCAAAATGCATTAAAAAAAAAAAAAAAAAATTGTTATGTTTCGCAACTTATTGATTTCTTATTTAATCATAATAAAGATACTAATTAAATTATTTTTAAAGGCATTGTTATTAAGTTTGTATTAACATGTACTATAGTTAATTTTTAAAAAACGAAATATAATATACAGTATTAAATTTCATTATAATAAAGAAATTAATTTTCATAAGATAATGTCAATTTTTTTTTGTTACGAAAAATAAATAAATATATAATGTATTAATAAGCATATATATATATATTGGTTAGGTTAGGTTAGGGTAAATAAAATATTTATTGTTCAGAGATTTTCATAACAAAAACAATTAATGAAATTAAATATTATTAATCAAAATAAAAAATTTCAAGTACATTAATGATGTATAAATTATTTAAAATAACTTATTTTTAAAATATAACAAGTTATAACTAGATTATAAGGGCGTATAAATAGATAAAAATGAATTAAGATAATATTTTAGTTTTGAAAACTTAATAAGCATATTTGTAATAAAGGCAGTTTTTCTCATACATATAATTATGCATTTATGTAATAATAGCTAGAGTATTCATCTTAAATTGTAAATTAAATGAATATTGCTCAAAGGCCAGACATTGTGCTTCAAATATTTTAACTTCGTGTTGATATTCAAGTAACACACCACACATCAGTTTTTCATAATATCTTAATTTATTTTTACTAATAAGTCCAATTTTATTTTTGTCAGTAATTTAGAATTCATAAATAATAAAGCCAAAATATTACCATATTTTATCAATACTGTTGTATAAATTATATTGTAATAGAAAAAAAATTTCTAACAGATTTATAACCTTTACTTAATATTTTATATTTAAATAAGGATTAATGTATTAGCGATGAAGAAACCGAAAAAACCATAATTTTTATACCAAAAAGGCCAATAACATTTTATCATATGATAAGAAGTAGATGATATTATATTGTTAATTACCTTATTTTTCTTTAAATTTAATATCTAAGCCGTCTTAATGTGTTGTATTTGTATCCTTAGGTAGTAAATGACAATGACTTAATGCCTATTTTGGCATAAATGTATGACCAAATAATATTTACTCTAAATTTTCTCAATGTTTGCTTTTTCACAGGCTCCTCGAGCGTTGTTGTTGTAGTAGTAGTAGAAGCTGAAATCTTAATAGTAGAAGTAGTAGTGGATATCTGTCGATTGTGAAGCAGCAAATAATATGGCAGAAGCTACTTTCAACGTGTTTTCTTTAAAATTATTTTTCTCTTTTTGAAACAATAAAATAGAAATTGACAAATACAAAACAAACTGCAACAATAGAGAAAAAAGGAGATGAAATAAAATTACGAATTAAATATACACTTGGTAAAAATAAATAAAATACGACGTGCAAAGGAAGAACGACGTTCTTAGTAAAATTGGAAAACAACAAGTTATAATGAAATAAGAGGTCAGAGTACAATTTAAAATGACCTTGGGCGATTTCACGGAAATAGATATAATTTAGGTAAGCTAAAGTATCACAATAATAAAAATAGCAAGTACACCTAAATCGCCGTTCGCCCGGCTGTCGTTTTAAATATTTTCCGGATGTGAGTGACGTGTGTACTCTGTAGAATCCTGTTATACTTACCATTAAATTAAAACGAAAATGGTGGTTCTGAAATGACTGAGATAAAAAAAAAATTAAACATATGAAAAAAACCAATTCTGCCGACTGAATAAGAGAATTAAATGTGAAAGAGTAGATGAAATTTAAGTTAAAAGATTAAAAATTTAAATTCAATTTGAATCACATTGAAGCTTGAAAAACATAATAAAAAAAAAAAAGAAAAAAGTTAATAAATCCGCGTTGACGTCGTCAATGTTAAGTCATCATGAGCATCATCGGTATAATAGATAGTCAAATAATTATTACAACTTCCAATATTCATTTGACAATGGCGACGACGACACAAAACAAGAACGACGGTAAAACGATAAAACGCGAATATCGCGTTGAACAATAATAATCGGAATAATAATAATAATACTAATTGCAATAACAAAGCGGCAGAAAAAATAATTGGTTCATACCAAATTACGGGTACTATTAAACGTGGTGCTCAAGTCGATTGTCGATCGAAAGGGGGGTGATCGGGGTCGCGGGTCAGTGTAGCCATATGGGTGGACGGGGTCGTAGGACAGTGTGGCCAGAACGTGGTCTGGGGGTGGCTGTAATCGGTGTGACCAACGTGATTTTACGCGGCGATTGACGTCATGAGTCTTGATTTTATCAGAATAATTAATTGTTTATTTATAAATAAAAGTTATTTATTACCATAAAAAAAAAAAAAAAAGAAAAAATCCTTCAGGGTAAATTTGAGTGCTGCTGCCGCTGTTGCTCTGCCGTTGTTCTAGCTTGACTGATTCTCGTGTGGTTATCGTCTCGTACTTATTAGTCACTGCGTTATTACTATTTTTGTTTTTATTTTGAAAACAGATAAATACACAGGTGAATGTGACGTTCGATTGTAGTATATTAATATTATTTTAGTATTATTATTATTATTATTATTATTATACATAATTAATGAACGATAGTATCAGTATCATTGTTCTATTATTTATTGAGTACGTTTGTTTGTTTGCGTGTATATGTGTTAATTACATCAGACCCTAATGGCCGATCAGAGGTTCTGTTTGCGATGGAACAATCATCAGCCGAATTTGGTGAACGTAATGACTGGCCTGTTGAACAGCGAAATGTTTGTGGATGCAACCATTGCCGCAGAGGGACGGAAAATTCAAGTTCATAAAGTTGTATTGTCTGCTTGCAGCAGTTATTTTCAAGTAAGATAGTCTTATGATTCAAGTAATAGTCTTATGATTTTATTTCAAATTGTAGTTGTTTTCAGTGATCCTTATATGTAGGTCTATCATTATTATCATAAGTCAATTTTTAGTATCTGTATGGAACTTATTTGATAATTTTAAACTCAACAGTTATAACTTATTTTAAGTATTATAGTTAGAAATACTATTTTCTACATTCAAGTATGAATTTATTTTTCATACTTACATGTTAATTATTTATAATTTATGCCATATAGGTATTTTTTGTTGTACAGTTTAATTTAAGTTAAATTATTATGGAAGGCAGATTACATTTTGTGAATAAAAAATTTAATTAGCAGATAATTGTTAAAAGAAAATTGATGTGTTTCATACTTAGATAGTTACTAAATAATAGGTGTATTCAAAGTCTTAATAACTGGGTTGCCACCTTGGTAGCTAATTATTTTTTATAAATATGCATTTATATTTTTATGGATAAAAATGAAGTATAATAACTTTTATTATATATATTTTTTATTTTAAGTATGTCTAATAAACAAATACATCTTGCTTTTGAATGATACATTTGTGAACTGAATAACAGACTGATAAGAAAACCTATATATATTATATAATATATATATATAATGGATATATATATATATATATACATATATATATATATTATATATTATGTCTATTTTTTTTTTTTTTATTGATAATTTCATGGTATTGACTATTGATATTGATCAATTATTATTAATAACATTTAATTGCTTATTTATTTTCATACTATTTAACTTAAAAGTAATAGGTATATCAACACATTTTTTTCTAGTTACTGTTATTATTTTATTTATTATAAAAATTTTCAACATCTTAAATTTTTAAGAACGCACCATTTAAATATAAATTTTCAATTACTTAATCATTAAAACATTAAACTTTAATTAATTGCATTTTTTTTTTTTTTTTTTTAGATGCTTTTCAATGAAACACCATGTAAACATCCAATTATTATCATTAAAGACATGTCTTATAATCATTTGAAAACATTAATTGAATTTATGTATTATGGAGAAGTTAATATCTCTCAAGATCAACTCCCTATAATTCTAAAAGTAAGTGTTTTTTTTTTCTTTCATTTTTTACACTAACTATATATTATATTAGGCTGCAGAAAGTTTGCAAATTAAGGGACTGACAGAAAAAACAATGTTTCCGTTTACTACAACACGACAGGCAGAAACTGAATATAGTTTGTTGTCTCCTTCAGCAAAACGAAAAAAAATGCACCTTATGAAATCATCTAGTGATAAATCTGAACATAACAGTTCTATAGAGGATATTTCAGTAACCGAACAAGATAATTTGGCTAATGTAAGTATTGGCTTTTGTAACACAATTTTCATATATATATATATATATATATATATATGTATAATGTTTTTATGGATTCAAGTTTACTAAAATTTTCTTTATTTTTAATTTTAATCTTTGTTCTTAGTACCATATTCAATTAAATTTTTTTTTAAATTAATTTAACATTAACAATGCTTTAACTCAAAATTAATAAGTCATAAAGTTTTAAAAATATTAACATTTTTTTTTTTTTTTGTTGCATCAATACTAATATTTCAACATCTTTATTAGTTATTAGTTTAATTTTTTATGTTTTATGAAGTTTTTTATTTTAAGATTTAATTATTTAAAATATATATAGTATTGAACATTTTATTAGTAATTTATGTTATTGATTATTGATCAATAGTACGTGATCACTTTAATAAAACATTATTTAATAAATTATTCTACATTTTACTCTAATATTTTAGATGTATGACTAATTGTTACAGACTTCTGTTTTATTTTTTCCATTATTTAATATAGATTAAATGGTTGTTTTTTAGTATTGTTTCAATTTTGATTATTTCCTTCATAGTCATTAATTAGTTATAAACTTAACATATTAAGAAAGAGTTAAACATTTATTTGTATCTATAATAAATAATTTGAATATTTTCAATATGTAATTTTGATATGTACCTTGGTACTAATCTAACCTAATCAAATTCATTCAACTAAGAAATTACGTTTCTTACATTAATGAACTAGTATAACCATGGTATAAAATATAAAAACTTATATTAGACTCTTTTATAGAGATCTCAACCTACACCACAAGGACAAGAAACATCGAAATCTATTGGTAGTGTAAGCAAACATTCATCAACAGAAAATAATGCTTCGATTGTTCATCAAAAACCTGAAGGTATGTAAATAGTGTTAACATTTTTATCTAGTTTTTATTTACTATCTAATTAGATTAATAAGTTAAATCTGCAATTTTTTTTTTTTGTTAATTTAGATTTTGTTTTGTAATTAGTTAAACATTAACCAAAAGCATTATTTATATATTTTACATTAATATACATAAAAAAGCATGTTATTGTTTGGATCATCTATACAGTTTTGTAGGGTAATGATTATTTTTGCTAAGTGAATGCAAAATATAAGTAACTATTTAGATGAGTGAATAGTTTCAAAAACGTTCAACCTGTAAAATACTCACTTTAAAGAGTTGCTTAATTGCATAATAAAATAAGTCATTTTAATAATTGTATTTCTTCTTAAAATTTCAATTGTGTCTTTTTTTTTTCATTTAAAATACTTAATATATCAGAACATTTTATTACAAATTACAACATTTGCTAACAGGTTGGTCGTTTTTGGAGCAGCTCTCTGATTGCCCGCCTCACAGTGTCTACGCCATACCCAAAGCCAAAGCAACATCCAAACCAGAGAATAAAGTACGCAAAAAACGAGAACCAGGTATACGAGAGAGTGATCGTTTTAAAGAAGCTCTTGAAGCTGTTCGTGTGGGACGTATGGGATTTTGTCGTGCAGCCCAAGAGTATGGTATAAATAATCGTACATTATGGCTTGAGTACAAAAAGAAAGGTTATCCTGTTCACCGAAAAGGTCAGTCTTCCTCGTCTATTCCAGTACCTTCGCCAGCCTCATCTATCAATGGTCAATCTTCCGATCAAGTATATCAAGCACCGTTATATGAACCTTCAACGTCTCAAACATCTTCAACAGTCGATCATCCTGCTTATGTTTCACAAATGTATTCACAACCACTGACAGTTATTAATCCATGCTATTATTCTTCACCAGCACCTTCAATATTTTCTGCTGGAAACCATACATAATTATTATATTACTTATTAACAATTCTTTTTGTTTCCTTTTCTTTAGCTAATAATTTCACTTTTACTGGTTTGCACAAATATTTAACTATATTAATTTTACAATTCATTCATTTGAATACAGAATAGAATGTACTACAATGATTTGTTATTTTCAAGTGGTAGAAGTTATGTTATTGTTTTAAAATATTAAATCATCATGAAACACCTTATATTTATTTGACGAATCATTCACAGTTCATTATTTGTAAGATGCAACAGTAAATCGAGTATTCCTTCTTATACATGTGTAGTGTACTTAAACTGCTTTCTATACTTAACTCATTGTATTCACCTTATTGATATTTATTTGTATATATATCATATAAGTTGTATAAATAATTTATTGTTAAAATTTTTCAGTACAATATTTTGTTTTTAAATGGACTTCATAGTTATGGTCGCTAGCCCCCTTCTCTCCATGTGTCTTGTATTGTATGTTAGGAAAATATTTGGGTAAACTTATATTGGAATAGTTGGGTGGTAGGTTATTCTTTTAGGACAGATGTCTCATCCAAAAAATGTAATCACCCAGTGACTAGGGTTTGAACTATCAACTGTATATTTAAGCACAGTTGTGCTTATACCATTTGGACACTATATCCCCATCATGGGAGTCACATGATATTGTTTAATAAAGAAGTCTTTAAACAAAATTAAAAACTTATTAATCATTTAAAATTCTACTTAAGTATTTTATACCATAATAAGACAAATATTTTAAATTAAGACACTTAGTTTTTGATCAAAAAAAGACAACCTATACTTACTATTTTCACAATTAGACATTTTTATAATAGAACAAGAGAAGAACAGACAAACATGTTTATTTAAAATTATGTCAATATCATTAATTTTATACATGGCATAATGATAGGATGTTATATTGTGTCTCATAACTTTTTTTTATAATTTTTCTAAAACTAAATTTATGTATGTTGATGATTTTATGTGAATAATTTATTTAAATAAAGAGGGAATGAACTTTTAAAAACTGGGTTGCTGACATTTTTTTTGTCCCCTCTTTCATTAAATCTTATAGTATGCCTCCAGTTATGAATCATAAAAATTTCCCATTCACTCACATAATAAGTGAAGTGTAGAGAGCAGTTTTAGGGTACTATATGTGTATATGATAAAAACGACTGATTTTAATGTTACTCTTTCTTTAAGGACTGTCAAGTATTTAATGATCCGTTAACTTTTTAAGAAACAATTGTGCATCCTGGTGTTAATCTATAATTATTTATTTGTATAGATATTTTAATTATAAATTATAATATATTATTAGTTTTAACTTGATTTGTATAACAAAACTATTTTTAAATGTAATATTTACCGAAATATAATTACTGTATTTTGTAATTTAGTTGTTTTTTTCTTTTTCCATACCTCATTATTGTAGTGTAATAATATAATATAATATATTATATTATCAGGTTTAAATCTGTTATTAAAAATGGATCTTTTAATTTTCCAGTTAATAAACGAATTAGAACTCTAGTACGTCAACCCCATATAAAAATCAATGATTGTGAAATGAGTACAGAGGTGTCGACAGTTGTAAAAACCGAAATTAATGATGAATTGGAACCGGTATTCCGTGTACTTGAGAGACAATGTTCTGAGCCAAATCCATCATCGATCAACACATTAGCTGTTCCTAAACCAACTATAGTCAAACAAATTTCACAGCCATCGGAATCATGTCAAACATCTAGAAGTTATTTCAATGATGAACTACCTAGTGCATCACAGGTAAATCATAAATATTTTAGATCATAATACCTTAGCGTTTTATGAACACCATGATGTTCATTGGATAATGATGATATATAGATAAATACGAATGATTCGTACAACGGATCGACGCGATCAGACCACTGTCCATTGTTGAGAACAGGACCAGCGCTCGGATGTAGTTTTTGTTGGAACACAATTGATGCTCGTGGAAGATTTTTGAGACGAAAAACAAAATACCATTGCCCTGAATGCAATATAAACCTCTGTTTGGTTCCTTGTTTTCAGGTGATTAATAAATTTAGCATAACTATAAGACTTTTTTTTTTGTTAGGCTCTCTAATAATGCCTTGAAATCCATAAATGGGCAAAAGTAAAGGTAATTGAGTAGAATGCTGGCTAAATTATAAATAAATTTTATAATTTTAGGAATGCAATGTTAGGTGTTCAAACAATTTAAAATTAGCTTTTAATATTGTTTTAGTTTTATAACTGAAAATGGTAATACTTTGTAATGTTTACAAGCAAGCTCATTTTTTAAATTACTACATTTGATCTTTTATTAAGATATTTTTATATTTTATTATTTCTAATAGTTAAAACTAAATATGTCAGTTACTGTTTATTTATATTATTGAATAGTTACATTTACATACATTTTTGATTTTACTTTTTAGGAGTTTCATGAAAAACAAACTCAAACAAAATCAACAGAAATTACTTTGACTGATCATTCGCGAACTTTTAAAGAAGATACCATATAGTTTTCGTCTGTAGTATACATTTTTTATGAATTATAGTTGTTTAACTATGTGTTACCACTTTTTATTACTTAAGAATATGTTCTGATTTTGTTTAGTTTAGAACAAGTAATATAGTATTTGTTAAATATTATTTATATATAAAATTGTTATTTTTTTTAATTGAAATAATATCCTATCTATGAGTAAAATATAAAAAATGTTGTTAATAATTTTTAGTTTTTAAGATATTTTTTCATAACATATAATTCAGCCTTTGTTAAGTATACATTTGTATGTTAAATAAGTGAAGGTGTAAACTAAGTTAATTGTAGAATAAATACTTATTTGAACAGCAATGCAATTTAATACAAATTCTAGTCAATATTAAAATAATTTATTAGTTAAATTGTAAATTTCAATAAAAGTAATATTTTACTAAGTATTTTTTCTATCAAGTTTGTTGAAGCCAATTATTTAGTATAGAGGTATTATTTTTCAAATGATATCTGGTACTACATAAAATATGGAGTTTCAAAATTATAACTTAGGATGTTTTATTTATTCTCCAATGTTGAGCAGTGATTATTTCAAAAGGAATAAAATTATGTTAAAAGTAAATTAAAAATTAAGATTTGTCAGGTTGATTGTAAGTAGATTAGCAAATCACCTACAACATTATAGCACAAGGCAAAATGCAAACAGTTTTTTTTTATATAATTTATCTTAGTTGATTATCAATTCAATCAACTTTCTTCTTTTGAGTATTGACAGTGGTGTATTTTATAATATAAAAATACATAAAAGATTAGCAATAATATATATTATAATTAAAAACTAATATTCTCTTTCTCTATGCTTTTGTAGCTAGACATTTAAAGCTTTTGAACCATTTTTTCTCCTAAGGGGAGGGGGATAAAGACTTGGGAATCCCTCTGAAAATATGTGAATACTGTTAATAGCAAAATTAATAGTGCATTTATTATTCATTGTGAATGCAAAAGAGCAGAGAAATATTAACTTCACTTTAACTGTATAATACATATTTTGGCATTAACTCAATATAATTTATTTCAATTAGTAACATTTAATTGTCGAGCCAAAATATTTTTGATGAGCATAAAAATTGATTTAATTTTGTAATGTACACATCAGTTTTAGAACCAAGGAAATGAAGAATAAAAAAAAAAATTAAAACTTTCTTAGTCCAAATATACAATGTATATTTAAAATAAATGAATCAATATATGGGAATTAACGATTAGACTTAGCAACACGTTCCAGTTCGTCTTTCTTTTTGATAGCATAAGAATTAGATGATCCCTGTAAAAATAAAATAATAAATATTTGCTTTAATTCAATAATTAATGTAGTGTATTTAAGACACCTTAGCAGCATTGATCAATTCATCAGCCAAACATTCAGCTATTGTCTTGATATTTCTGAATGCTGCTTCTCGGGATCCTGTACACAGTAACCAAATAGCTTGATTGACACGTCTCAACGGAGAAACGTCAACAGCTTGACGTCTGACAGTACCAGCTCTACCAATACGTGTAGAGTCTTCCCTGGGTCCACTGTTGATAATGGCTTTGACAAGTACTTGTAATGGATTTTCACCAGACAACAGGTATATGATTTCAAAAGCATGCTTAACAATACGGACAGCCATCAGTTTCTTTCCATTGTTACGTCCGTGCATCATCAAAGAGTTAGTTAAACGTTCAACAATTGGGCATTGAGCCTTACGGAAACGTTTAGCAGCATAACGTCCAGCAGAATGAGGTACATATTTGGCATACTTTTCTTTGACAGCAATGTAATCCTATCAAATTTTAAATAGTAATTTGTTAATTTGTAATAAGATTAGGATGAACAGTAAAAACTGGAAAATTTCTATCAAATAAACATAATGAATAATGATAATATAAGACATAAACATACTTGCAAAGACATATCAGAAACTTCAACATCATCACAACTCCATCTGCCGAACAGTTTAACTTCCGGTAATTCAGCAGCTATTTGTAAAGGAGCTGAATCTACATTAGGAGCAACCTGGACATCTCCCCAGTCTTCATCGGCCATGTCTGGAATAAACAATGAAATTAAAATATAAACCAATACAATTAGAGGTAAATCATTTATCTAAATATTTGATAACACAATGAAAACTTATAACAAAATTGTACATTTTAAGACAAGAATTACTAGAACTCTAGAACATAGTTCAATTGATAAGTAACAACAATAAAATCTAGAAACACAAGATAACGGAATATAGAATTGGATAACGAAAGCCAAAATTAAAGATGTTATTTGAATGGTCACATTCATATGAAAAGTTAATAAACGTGCGGTCAACCAAATTGTTACAATTTCGCAATTCAACGTGTAATAGAATAAGTAAGGCAAATTATGATTGCGGATGTAGATACGTGTCGATTGGGTGCGATTGACCGAATTAAAAATGTAGATTCGTATTACCTAAGGTGAGGGCAACACTTTAAAAACACAGAAGGCACCGAATAATAATAACGAAGGACTATGTTTACTTCACGTAAGTTTACGTTCAAATAGATTTGAGATCGGGTTTTGAGGTTAGCCATGTGTAATTTTTGGCGATTTTTTGGTGAAAACATCGAATAGTAACAGACTTTTAGTAGTGAATAACGAAACAGCGCATAACGGCACATTATCCGGGTGTTGATCAGATTATAATTCACTTACTTGTGTTTGGTGTAGAAATTAGACAGAAAATTTCCGAAACCGTAACGTCGGAACGCGGACAAGTGGACGATAATTCCAAACGAAAGAGATCAGTAAGCAGATCACGGCACGGGACGATATAATGACAACAGCAGGTTGGCGGCACTGCGAATGTACACAGTGCCACCAGTTGGCCGGCAATTGCAAAAAGAATATTAAATATTGAGTTTATGACATATGGGACACACCAAGTTCTGATTTCTGATGCTTTAATGCAAAAAGCGTTTACAGAAACAAAACAAATTATTATTACATTAATATTAAATTATTTATGTGTATTATGTTTCTGACACGGTTCACATTTCTTAGAAAATGAAAACTGTCAAATATCTAAGAACATAGGCGTGCGCAGTATTTTGTATCGGGTGCAGCATACATTTTTAACCGGTCCTAAAGAATAATAAGCAGCCCACTTATTTCCTTTACATAGCATCCCCCCTGAATTCTTTTTAGCCCCACTGTGTAAGAATTTAATATTTTATAACTTCATATAATTACTTTTGTACCCAAATCATTATATGGTATATCCCCCACACCATATAGATTCATTACTTTATGACTAACCTATTACAGTTATAAGAAATATAGTAAATCGTAATTAAAAAGTAATAATATTTTAATGAAATTTAGTATATTCATTTATACTTTTATAAATATATATACATATATATATAAATACATATCACATATGTAATAAATGACACTACTCAGACTGCAATAACAGTGAAAAATCGTTATTCAATTACAAACTTAATAGTCGATTCGGTTATGTGATTACTGATTACTATGCTAATTATGGCATCTATTCCGTTTTCGTATCGCTGCACGTCTGGCTGGATGGTTAATGCGCTATTGTCATTGTGGTTGTGTCTGTATTTGTATACTGTATAGTGTGTAGGCACATCGAAATTACCCAATAATATCCATCTATTTTAAGATTTGTATTGATAAAGTAAAATTATCATTTTTCATTTGAATAACATTGATGAACATTTATATTTTTATTTAATTATAAACTCAATATGTTTAAAATTATTCATTCTATGTATATCTTTCAAATAAATATCTACCAGCCCACTAAATCCAAGATAAATTGTCAGGTGCAGCAAAAGCAGCATTCACTGCACTCGTGCGCACGCCTATGTGTAAGAATGTAGGATTACTGATTAGCAAGGTTCGGAACTTTAGGCATTTGCATGTTTGTCTAGAACAGTGGTTTTCAACCTTTTTAACAATGCGGCACATTTCATCTCCAATAAAATTTTCGCGGCACACCAATCCATATATTATGTGAACCATATTTTATATATGTATATGTATATGTATACTGTGTACAGTCTACTCTATTAGAAGGTTATTTTTTTTTTTTTTTTTTTTTAACTTAATTCTTTATTTAGCAATCTGTTAAAAATTAGAACAATAAGCTTATTTGATATAATAATAAAACAAAACAGGAATGACGGAGTGAAGAGACCTCCCATTGGAGGTACTTCGTCAGGAAAGTAGTTAACCTATATTACACGTTTATATACAATTTATCACAGCAGGTCACGACACCACTGTCGTTTTAATCTTCTTTGAGAGTTGCCTGGAATAGTTGCGGATGAGAGTTGAGTAATAAGAGGGTTTGGATGTTGGGTGAGTCGGCTATTGAAACGCTTGTAATGGAGTTTGACTAATTCGGTGACAGTTTGTATTTTTAAATCAGAGTGGAGGGATTTATTGGAGATGTAGTATGGAGCTTTTGAAACTGTTCGAAGAATTTTGGATTGAAATCTTTGAATATGATTGATATTAGATATTTTTGCTGCACCCCAGAGCTGGATTCCATATGTCCAGATGGGTCTTAGGAGTAATTTATAAATTAATAGTTTGTTAATTAGTTTTACTTTTTTGGCAGTTAATAAGGGTCGTAGAAGACGATGACGGTTGTTGAGTGCGACAACTTTGCTTCTGATATGAGGTGCCCAAGTAAGTCGGCGGTCGATGTGGATTCCAAGATATCGTACACACTGGGCATTAGGTAAAGTTTGGTTGGTTAGAAATAGTGTCGGACAAGTGCCGTGCCGAAGAGTGAAAGTACAATGGGTGGATTTGCTCTCATTCATTTTTACTCCCCATTCTCTATACCATGTTTCGAGGAGGTGAAGATGATTTTGTACATAGAGAGAAGCTAAGTTAGGGTCACGACTGATAGCTATTATAGCTTTGTCATCTGCAAAATCGCCGACTAAGGTTTGGTTTGAGTTAGGTTGGTCAGAGATGAACAGATTAAAAAGTAGTGGGGCAGTAGTAACTGCACCTTACGGTACGCCAGCATTAATTCTTGCTGGAGGGGAGATTGCAGAGCCTATACGCACTGAGAAAAAGCGGTCTTCTAGGTAAGACTTTAGGATTAAGTAGTAGTGACTAGGTAGTAGATGTTTTAGTTTATAGAGTAAACCCGCGTGCCATACCCTGTCAAAAGCTTGGGAGACGTCGAGGAAATTTCCAGTACAGTAGAGTTTTTCCTCTAATGCGTACGAGATTTTATCAACTACCCTGTGTACTTGATGTACAGTGGAATGGCTGTTGCGAAATCCAAATTGAGTGTTTGGTAGTATATTTGCATCAGTGACTATGGGTAGGATACGTTTTAATAAAAGTTTTTCAAATATTTTTGACAGGATCGGAGAAGACTTATTGGTCTGTACGAGGAGGGACAGTTCGGCGCTTTATTAGGTTTAAGGATTAAAATTATAGTGGAGTATTTCCATAGGATTGGAAAGTATGATAGCCTTAACATTGAATTATATATTTGAGTAAGGAAAATTATAGTTTTTTTTGGTAAGTGTCTAATTATTTCAGCGGTTATCAAGTCGAAACCTGGCGATTTTTTTAGAGGAATTTTTTTTATAATAAATTCGACTTCTCCGGGAGAAAAGGCTCGGGGAGGAAGACACATTTGAAGAGGAGAGTCGAGAAAATTTTCAACATTTTTGATTCTGTTTTGAGATAGAATATCAAGGTGTGGCTGAAATGTATTGACTAGATGTTTTGCGAAGATGTTTGCAAAGATGTGTTGCATATGATTCGGACCTGTGGTTAGCTAAAAGTCGTTTAAGTTTTAATGCAAGAGAATTGTAGTGGCGTTTATCTGATGGATATCTACTGTTTTGCCAAACAGCACGAGCACGCCGTTTTGCTGCGATTAAAGTCCTTATATAAGTAGGAAGATTGTTAGGCGACTTTTTAGAAGGTAGTAGTTTGGGTGATTCCCATACCGATGATTGTATGTTATGTGTGAGCAGATTAACAGAGTCATCGATATCATTTATTGTTTTTAAACGAGTTTTTAAGTCGGTTTTTCCCGATAAGGATGTAGCAAATTTTTCCCAATCAGTTTGATGTTGGGATATGACTGTGGTGGTAGATTTGTCGGGAGGTTGACAACCTATGATGAGAAGGACTGGAGAGTGGTCTGAGCATGGGTCTAAAAGGTTGAGGGTTTGAGTATGGAGGTTATTAGGAATTTTGGTGATAAATATATCCAATATATCGGGGTTTTTGTAGCGAGATGTAGGCCAGTATGTATAATTAGGGGGCGTCAGAACAGATATGTTAGAGTGAGATATAGATTGTAGGAGAGTGTTTCCTCTAGGGTTTGTAGCACGACAGCCCCATAGAAGGTTATTTATTGTGAAATATATTAAAACAATCGATCGATCGAGACGGCTGGAACGGGCATACTCATAATAAATAATATTACAATTAGTATATGTATCTACGATTAGTTTGATCAGTTTTCATCTCGAATATCAATAATAAGCTGGTAAATACATATAAAATAATTTATTGATTTATCGCGGCACATTTAAAGGGCTGGAACCACTGGTCTAGAAAGTGCATATTGAAATTCTGATTCGATACAAATTCGATTCATAGTATGTATAATTCCGATGTAAAAATTGTTGCATAATTTTGCATATTTTGTTACTTTTTGTACAAATTCGTATATTTTGGGTTTAAGAACATTTATATGCATATTTCATGGATTTAACAATATTTTTTAAAAAAATGTATAGTTTAATAATAAAATATTAGATATATGACAACCAAAATTCCAAGTTTTATATCGTTTAACAAAATAAATTAATTTATCAACGACTATTATTTGTATTTGTCCGGTTCCCATGCACTTAGCAATAATATTACCATCTATAAATATAGTACCGAGAATTTGTAATAGCATTGATTATAGAATATATCTATTCTATAATCAATGGTAATAGTGACCACCGTCGGCCCGCATTTATTTTTATACAAATTTACCACCGTATTAATAATATGACGAGTGACAACTGATTTCCCTCGTAGACTGTTCTACTAAGGCATGATAGGGCGGTGCGCACGGATCAACACAATGATATCGAAAACAAAATGAAATTACCAATTCTATTTTAAGAAAAGTATTATTTTGAATTTATTTAATTGATATTTATTGAAAAAGTCGACACTTCTACATCCACGGACGACCTCAACAATTAAGCGCTATGGTCTACGTTTCTGCTCTGCGCGTTTTTATTGTAGGCTGTTTTTGCGTTATTTGTTTTTGACTTGTATACTTTTATTTATATATTTTATAATATATAATATAATATATTATCTGATTCAGCGAAAAATATCTAAAATACCAAATACTTCACAAAACTGAATAATTCGGAAAGCTAAATTGAAATATAATAGATTTTTACTCAACACTTATCACAAATATAGAAATATATTGTTTTATATTTGTACAATACTCGTGTTAATTTACTAATTCCTCGTCTTAGGTGGGTGTGATTTACGATTATTTGCCATATATATTTAAATAGATTGAACAACATTGATTTTTATTTATCGTGATTGGAGATACGTCAATTTTAACCAATCATGGGTTAACATTATGAATTTAAGAATTGAAGAACACGAAATAACATTTACATTGCATTTTGATTAGTCAAAAACTATCGTTATGGTTACATCATGTTGTTCACGTTGGTTACGCTGTTTTGAATGTTCTTGTTATCATTAACTTTCAACTATCACCTTTGCTACTATAATTTATATTTTTTAATTTAGTACAACGTGAATTCGTGTGAAGTCTTGGGTGCTCGGATCGTCGATTGGCGTTGATTATTTTTGTTAATTATTTTTTCTTTTCTAGTACACCACCAAAGTTAATCATGTCATTGGCAGAACCAAGGAAGAGAAGGAAAAATCCGATGCACAGTGTTAATCTGTCAGCTCAAAATCATTGGTCGGAAGGTAATTTTTATTTAACTACATATTGTATACTTAAATTTCCGTAATAGTATTGATCACATTTATTTATATAGTATAATATATGTTTAGAATTGCCATTTACTCGTAACTAATTTTTTTTTTTTTTAAATTGTATATAATTTTAGATGATTCAAAATTTGGTCAACGTATGCTTGAAAAATTTGGCTGGTCAAAAGGAGCTGGTCTTGGAAAGAATAAACAAGGGATAGCAGAAAACATTAAAATTCAACATAAAGTTACCCCTACAGGTATAAAATGTTTCTACATTAATAAGAATAATAGTTTTAATTTTAATATGTTCATTTTTTTAACATTTACATGTGAATACTCGATAATTGCTAGTAATATTTGTTATCATTTAGATCATATATTTCAATTTAAGTAGTTATTATGATGATAAAAAAAAATTAGTTTCCTGTTAATAGTAATATAATCCATTATTGTGTAAACTAAAGTGAAGTTTGTATGCTCTTATATGTAGTCTTTGAACTACTTTTTTGACAATTTGATTTAAGATTTATTTTTAGTTGATAAAATATTAAATTTTATTGTAATAATCATGTAGGATTGGGATTTCTGGCAAACAATGCAGATGATTGGTTTAAAGCAGGCGAAGACTATTCGCGGTTATTATCTCAATTAACTGAAAAGTTTGACCAGTACCAAGCACTTACAAAAGCAAATTACAATAAGAACTCACCAAAATCTCTTGAGGAAAATTCATTAAATTCTAGATCAAGAGTACAGTAAGTTATTATAAAATTATTTGTTCCATAGTTTAAATAAATTCATTAATTCAATGTTATTTTCTAGCTATCATAAATTTACAAAAGGAAAAGATTTGACACAATACAAAAAGGAAGAATTAGCATGTATATTAGGTAAAGGAGTAAAAGATGATGATCAAAATTTAAGTGGTTTAAATATGCAAGAATACTTTAAAAATAAACATGAAAGTAAAAAACTGCTTATAAATAAACAGTATGATATACCTAGCAATGAAGATCCTACTAGGATTTCTAATGATGAAACTAATAAAAATATTAAAACCGGCAAAGTTGAATGTAATATAAGTGATGCAATTGACTCGGAAGAAAAAATTGTTGAACAGGTAAATAATTTTACACCTATAAAAAAAAAGAAATGTGACACACAACTTTCAAAACAAACTGTTAAGCCTCCTAATGAATGCAATGAAGCTGAATTAAAAACTAAAAAGAAAAAATCAAAAGAATCGATTAATGATAATGTAAATGATGTTGATTTATCAAAGAAAATAAAAAAATCCCAAATGCCAACTAATGAGAATGTAGATAGTATTAAGTGTCTTGAGAGTGAGTGCAATAGTAATAACAATAAGGAAACTCAAAAACAAGAAGAATTAGTATTATCATATAAATATCAGAATTTAGTTGATCTTTTAATTGAAAACAGTTCAGCTGGTAAAAAGTATTGTACGGATTCAAATTCTATGTTTGAAAAGAAAATAAAAGAATTTATTGATACCGTTAAAAGTCAACATTCAATCACTGTTTCTTCTGAAATAAATCAGACAAATGAAGAACTAAAGTCAAATAAGCCCTTGACTTTGAATCCTGACGACAAAAATTTTGTTAAAGATTTTGAGGCTCAAAAATCTAAAGTACTTGAGAGTATAAAAAAACGACAAGAGGTGTCAAAATATGTGAACGATAAATCTATGTTTATTGCTGAACATGGTAATATTTTATTCTTTGGTAGTAATATGAATGAAATCAAAGGTTATGGAGACTGGTAAAATATATTGAATATTATATGGATTAAATATTTTTTTGTTTTTATGATTGATATGTATTATAATTAAAAAACACATTTTTCAATGTTATAAAATTAATATTTCTTTTTCTTTTTATATTTTATAACCAAATTGATTCTTATAATTAATTGAATTATTTTGAAATACACATTAAAATGAACACAATGTATAATAGTAATGCATTTTAAAGAGAATTATTTTGTTCTTGGGATGAAAAGCCCCAAGGGTCTAAATATTTAGAAGATTCCATTATGCACACTGATGATTCTGCAATTTTTGCCAATAATTTCTTTAGGTCTGCTTGAGAGAATAACTAAAATAAATAAATGCAGTCATGTTATAATAAACAGTAATAAACACAAGTTTTGTTTTTATTAATACTTGGTAGAACTTGTTTGTCTCATCTGTAAGGTAACTGGCCAATTTAATGCACTCTGAATACTTTTCAGTAGTATGTAGTATAGTATGCAAAAGCATAAAAATCTGGAATCATGATAAATCATAAATTGTATTCATGGTAAATATTTGTACATTTTTTTGAGACAATAAAGTAAGCAAATATGACAATGCTTGAATTATTTGCAGGTATTGTAAAATTAATTTAAGAAGAAAGTAAAAGATATTTAATTGTATACATTGTCAACTCTTAAAAATTTGTTAAACAGAAAAGATAGTTTTTTCAATATTGTATTGATATTCTAAACTTTAGAATCGAAAGAAACAAGTATTCTTTCTACTTTTAAAATGTTTACATTTCAACAATATTTAATACTATTAATTTAAAATTTAGAATATATAGCAAACAAATATTAAAAATATATTATTTACTTAACTGAGGATATTAAATACAATATAATTTTATACACCTTAAGTGTAATATAAAATTTCAACATATTGTTTTTCAATAAATTAAATGGTCCTATTATAAATAATAAATATATTAAATCATAATATTAATATATCAATACACTTTGATATTATACTTATTATTATTATTATAATTATTATCTTATAACTAAAAGCAACAAACCTTTGGGATACATATAGTTCGTAAAAGTTCAAAATGTTCATGGCGACTTTTGTCTGTGTTGTCATGGTCAACAAGCCAGCCATTGGGGAAAAACAATAAGTTGAAAAGTTGTTCTCTCACAATCTGAAAGTGTAAAAGTATTTTCAACATACTTTTAAAACGCATTAAAATTTATCAAATATACTTGTGATGAATTTGAAAAGCTCTGTTTCCAGTTGTCTAAAGCTATTTGATACTGTTTCATATTATGGTCATAAATCATTTTTTTTGAGTATTCAGCATTTGCAGGTAATTTGGTAGGTTCAATGGGTTTGGTTTGGTGGTATTCATGAAACCATTCTGCAAACCCTTCTTCCGCATCCTAAATGAATTGATCATTGATTACATAATTCACACAACATAATAAATAGTAAATATAATTGTAACTAATTACATACTAAGTAACATTTATAAGCTAAATATTCCAAGATGAGTGATTGAATTTTACTGGAAAGTGATACGTTGGATGCCAAAAGTGTTTCAATATTTACATTATCATTATTTAGTAATGTACTGATTGATTCCTTTTTAATCTAAAGTTTGATATTTAAGGATTAATATAATTTATTTTCACTTTAATACAAAACCAGACCTTGTTAAATGCCAAACGAGCAGCTTGAATTTTTCCTTGAGCAACAAAATTACGCACAACTGCATTGATTTGGACAAATGCTTCTTCTACCTGGTGTGGATAGTAAATTATCCAATCTAGTGCTGAAACCAGTTCGTGATCATCATTTGTAATTTCCGAAAATAGTTCGACACCAGAAGTCACATTGGTATATCGATTTCTATATTATTTAATGTTACAATTTCACAATTAATCGAAAAATCTCATCATGTTAATAAAATCAATATGTACCTATATGTCTCTACAATACGTTTAGTAATCTCATCCACAGGAAGTGAAAACTTTTCAGCAGACATTAATCCATTATGTCGTTGTTCAGGTGAAATCATTTTTTCCAAAAATTTTGCATAAATTATGATTTGACTATTTTGTTCTAGTTGTGATGTATAGTAAGCAACTAGTATGGGGTCATTTATAGGGATTAGAACCTAGAAAATTATAAGATAATCAATTTACATTTACATATTTTACATATAATAACTTGATTTATAAGATTTAAATATACTTCTATATATTTTTGTATTATGAGATTGCCAGCAAGTGCATCATGTTGAATACCTGCCCAGCGAATTACCAAGACCAAATGAGCAAGAAAACGTAAGAATTGAGGGTCTAATTCTTTATTTTCAGCCCAATCTGCCATATTATTTACTAATTCACGAAATTGATTTGTCATAAAATATTGTTGAATTTGACGTTTGGGTTGGTGGGCTTCTTGGCGGACTGACAATTTAGAGTTGGATTTTAGTTCAGCAACAACATCATCTAAAGACATTCTACAAAAATAAACAATTAGAATTGAAAAATAAATATATAATTTGATAAACAAGTGAAAAAAATATTATTTTACTTATACTCCCAGTATTTTTCTGGAAGACTTATAAAGTTGCTTGTCCTGTTGGTTTGAATATGGTTTTCAACAGCTACATTTACGATATTATGAAGATGTGCCCATAAAATGTCTTCCCATTGATTGCATACAGGTAAAACAGCATCAATGTTCCCACAAAGTATACCAATTGTAGCTCTCCAATGTGCAGAATTCTTTATGTCTGACGATATTTTCCATGCACAACACTTCCAAACATCTCTGAAATGAGTTTAAACAAATAGGTTAAAACATAATTCATTACTTAATATTGGTGATAATATGAATCAGATACCTATTTGGATTCCCAAGAACTTCATCAGATTGTGTCTGGTCTTCTTTAGATTTATAAAATGGATCATGATAAAGTCTCCATCCTTCCAATATTGCTGACCTCCAAAATTGACCATACTGACAACACAATAATTCAGCTTTTTCTAAACGGCCACAACGAATTTCTGTAAAAACTTGGGCTAAAAGTCTATCATCATCTACCTATTAACACATTTATCTTTAGTATAAAAATAAAAAAAATATGTCCATAAATAAAAAATACATTATCAAAATAAAAACATGAACTTTTATTTAATTTTAATCAAATAACATAGTTAAATAATCAATGAATTTTAAGGAAAACTGAACGCATAACATTTGAATAAGTAAATTGCATCTATCTTATAATAAATATTGAAAATGAATATTTTTGGAATTGCATGATAAGGAACAGCTAAATAAGTATTATTAACATACTTGGTCTAAATCATGAATAGATCTTGCTTGCCTGCTAGGTGCATCTGGATCTAATTGAGTAACCAGAGCGCCAGAGCTTTGATATATCAATTCCTTTTTCTAAAACAATACATAACTATTTGTAACACAGAATTATATAAATAATTAAAATTAAAGAGATTCTCCCTCGCATAATAAGTTCTCTAGGTTCTCTGATACATACTAATAATTGACCTAAAGTATTTGGCCAAGCAACTTCTTCATCGGAAAAATGTTTTGCGTTTTTCATGAATTCATTTTCCATTCTTTCAGCAGCACAATGTTCTAACCAATCAACTATTCTTTGTATCTATAATATGAAGGTAAAACTATATTCAGTACATTTTTTTAAAAATTTTTTCAAAGAAAAATTACCCCTTTTAATTTTTGATCTTCTTTGAACAAGGCATCTGATAAATCTCGATCACTTATTATATTATCAACTTTTTCAGACTCTAAATGTTGTACTTGAAAAAGTGTTAATAGTAAACGCCAAGTATTCAATTCTTGTTCTAACCAATCTACATTCTATAAAAATAAAAATAATGAATTAAACCATAAACAAAAAAAAAAAATACTTAGATTTTTATAAGTACTTGATTTTGATCTTTTAAAATAGATATGGTATCTATACAGTTGTCAATAAAATATTGAAGAATTTCTAAAAGTTGTAGAGGTGAACTTATACGAAATGCTTGAAGAACATCAAGAAATTGATAGTACAATCCATTTTCAGCTAACGAATTAAAAGGTTGATTAATAACAATTGTTTTTGAAAAAATAATTCAAACCTTACAATTTAATTTTGGTTGAGAAATAGGTATGTCAAATATAGCACTGAGTTCACCTGGTATATATGATACAGATAAATTTAACTCAGATTTATTTATTTTTAATTTGCTTATATCATTTGTATAATCCATGAAAGATCCATTAATGCCTGTAAAAAAACATATGACAAAACTATAAGTTTGATAAAATATTTAAATATTAATTTCAATAAATGTATATACTAGTATCCAGATCAGCTAATATTTCAGCTCTAATAGAATTATCCATAGTTGTTGTTTATTTATACCAATTCAGTTTTTATGAGTATTCAGTGTTCAAGTACCTAAATTAAATTCTGCAAATTGATAAAATAATAATAGTGTTTACAATGCATTTTAAGTAAAATAAATTTTTTTATTTTTATAATCATATACATGATTACAAAATAATGTATTAGATTATTTAACCAGTAAAATTATACTTACCAACTCTTATGATCTTTTAAAAAAAACCAGAACAATTTTAACGGGCTTCAACACAGATTGTGAACTTAGACATAAACAAAAAAAAAAACCGGGTTGATAAGATCTTCGTCTAAATCAGTGCAACCATGTCAACATACTAAAACTATTTAATGTTTATCTCTTAAGTATCGGTTACACAATTCTTTACCATTTTTAAAATTTTTTTTTATTTATTTGTTATTCCATGGACCATTATATATTTCTCACAGACTGTTGGACATCTATTTCTATGGATTCTGTCCTTTGTCTAAACCTGTAATTTCCTATTTTTTACATTCTGCTGTCTAAGTCCATTGACTTAACCATTTACCTTTTTTTTCGCATTTTTATTTTATTCGGTGTATTTTAATTATACTAGTTTAATTATTACAATAAATTATACATCTTCGAAAATTTTTTGGATTGATATTTTATACAATGACTTCTTGTGCTGTAAGATTTTGTTATAATAAATTATCAAAAATTAAAAATATTATTTACTTCAGATTTCTAACAGATCTATTGAGGTGAGTACCTAATTATGTTTACAATTTTCATTTTCATAATAGAATATGTATTTTAAATATATAATTGTTACTAATTCAAAGGCCTAAACAATGGATTGAAAACTGTAATACATATCATTTATTGGAAAAAGGTTGATAGCTTTATATACAAGATAAAATGTTTTTAGATCAAAGTACAAAGAATCGTTAAAAAGCAGATGCAATCAACATTATTTAGTGGTAAAATTTTATTTATGAATTGATTATAATAACAATGTATTAATGTAGTTAAATATTCAACTAAAAAATGTTAGATGAAATATTATTGGAGAGAGCCCTAGAAGAAAGAAAATTGAAAGAAATTGAGGTTGAAGTTGCAAGGCATTATGTTCCATACCTATTATTGTGCATCCATCCATCGATAATGATGTATGCACAAGTCACACAGATGTATCTAAGAGCTTTTCAATTTCAAATGTTTCAAAAGTCTCCACCAGTGATTCATCATGTCAAACTCCACTTCATCTCACATATAAAACACCTAGAAAAATGAAACTTATGAATGAGGTGCGTACTGAAAATCAAGAAATTAAAGAATATAAAAGAAAAATTAATATCGCATATGAAGAACTATCACAAGGTAATACTATTGAAAACATGTTGAAGCTATACAAACAATATTTACCAAAGTTTAAATTTAATTATTACTATTCATGTTAATCATAGAAGTAAAAGAATCAACTGGTTATAGGTACTGCAATGAATTTAAACAATTAGCATTAACAATTTACGTTTTAGGTCCTTAGGTATTATTCATTTTTATAATCCACTTGCTTTCCCTAATCCATGTACACTAATATGCATAACAAAATATTATGAAAAAAATTTGGGTCTTATTGATTTTTTGTTCAATTTTTTTACTTTTTAAACTTAAAATTTTTTACCTGAATCATTAGAATGTGTGTTGTGTGCAAAAGAAATGTAATTAAAAAGTTTTTTATATTATAATATTATTAAGGAAGAAATTAATAGGCTTTAATGAAACAAACTATCGCAAGACATGATCCTGCTAAATTTGTACTCGTCTTAATGATTCGAGATATTAATTTTAATTGGAAATAACCCATTGCTTATTTATTTATATCAACTAGTTGCAATGGTTTAAATTTGCAGAACATAATTTTAACCAGTATTTTAAAGTTAAATAATTCTTCTTTTTCTTGGCTTTACAATTCTGTAAGAATTTTGCCCGCTACCAACTCTGTTCTCCAATCACAATCCTGGACTCTCTTTTCCCAATCTGTCACTTTGAGTGTTTCCAAGTCCTTTCTTATTCCATCCATCGTTTTTTAGGCCTACTTTTTGGTTTTTTCCCGGTTGATTTCCATTCAATTACTATTCTAACCAAGCCACTTAAGTCTTTGGCAATTAATGTAGCTTGTTAATAATAGAACCTCTGTAGCGTGCTGGGCATTGTTTTCCAGTACTATATAAATGTTTGTTTTAACTTATAAATCTAAGTGTAGTGATGTGTGATGTGGTAATTTCAATAATTAAGTCGTACAGACTTAATTATTGTATTATTGTATTAATTAGTGTATACATGCATTGATTATAACATCCTTGTGTTGTGGTCAAGAGTGCATCCTGATTATTATATTCGTAAGTTTTGTTAAGTGTGTTACGTGCCAACCGATCGATCTGATGATTCAGTTACAACGTCTCAGTCAACGCTTGATTGGAAGTGTAGTTAAGAATAATTAAGAACTTTTTTAATATAATTAAATTTATTTAACTCATAAAATTATCTTAACTACAATTTTGTAAATATTTTAGTGGTAGAAATTATCTAAGTCATAACAATTGTAACTTATAAAATGATTGAAATATTTCTAAGTCCAGACCATAACATACACTGACGTGAAGGTGCTCAGTGCAGCATAGCCAAAACTCGTCTGAATTGCCCTTGTTTTCGGGTCCCTTTTATATGTGATATGGTATGTGTGTGTGTAAATGAAAACGATAATAAAATATGATAAATGTGATGAGTCGTTATTGATTCGGTGTGTGCGCTCTAAAATATGATAATTCTCTATTGATTCTGTATGAGTGTACTATCTCTTAACCGGCCCATACTTAATACAAGATCCAGAATGTGGTCAACCACCCACGTATATGTGACTTCGATATTCATATTCTTATTTAAACAGATAACCATGTGAACAATTTAACTTATTCACACGTCTTGTTTCGATGTCCATGAGAAACTCTTATAATGTGTATTTTATACTATGTGACTACGCAGGACGCAACACCTCCCCACCTAAAAATTAATTTATGTTTGCAAAACAGAAATTAATTCTTATAGTTATGATTTTACAATTGGTTCAAGTTACAATTTTACAGCAATACAGAGGTTTACAATTTACAATTATTACAATGATTCTTACAATGTTATTAGAATTGTTACAATATAAAGATGTTGTTACAGATTTATAATTTTGACAATGGACTTACAATTTCTACAATATAATAATATGTGATAAAATATGTTTCGATTATATAATGGTTACAATAAATTTGATTAATATAATTGTTATTTCCGCATAGGAAATATTACAATGAAATGTGATTAATATACTTATTATTTCCGTATAGGAAATATTACAAATAAATGTGATTAATTAATTTAGTGTTAGTATAAATAGGTTAGTGTTACATATGTTTTGAATTACATTTTTTTTTTTTATGGTGGTTAGTATTACATTTTTTTTTTTTTTTTCATTCATTTTTTTTTATATTGGTTAGTATTAGTATTTGGTTAGTATTATACTTAATTAAATAAGTGCATTATTCTTGAGAATTACCCAGAATTAATATATTATTATTTAAAATTTATATTCTACCATTCCTCTTCTGATTCGTAGGGTTCTAATGTTTCCATTCTACTTATG